TTAGTGAAAGGGGGTGTCAGGGATTCTTACCCTTCCTTGTCCAGTAGGCTGCAGCATGCCTTGTTTACGGTATGTCTGATACTGTTTGTTCCTCTTTGGTGCCCTCTTATGACCAAACCCATAAAAATAATCATTCTGCAACTACTGGCAAATGCCTCACAAATTCCTGTCTCAGAGTTGTGATGCAACACCAGTTCACTATTTAACCATCAGCTGATCCATTCGGTCTGCGCCCTTGCGTTTGTTCAAATCTACCATGTTCTCTGCCCCTGTTCTTGTTCTCTGCGTATGACCCTGGCTCTGACTGATTAATCTCCTGGTTCCTGACCATGGCTATTGTTTCCTTTCATTCTTCACTCAGTGTTCCCTAACCTGGTTCCGCTGACTACCCGCTCTGACATCAGACCTCTGGATTGGCATCGACAATGTCCTAAACGCCCTCCATTGTTTTTTTCCCATTTATTGTTTCCCATTATTTTCAGTAAACTCCTTTTATTTTATTTTTTGTTGTAAATAACTCCTTTTATTTTTAAGCTGCACTTTAGTTTCTGTCTGGTTTCTTGGTTCCCTAACAGGGGGGTAAAGGTCCGCCTTAAGTTATTTTTTGTTAATGCAGCTTTCAAACACTGCAGTGAAGTGGAACATTTAGATAACAGTTTAGATAACTTGTTAACAGAAATTAATCCACACCTATGACATACAGTATGTATTGCTAGTTGTAGTACAGGCCACAGTCCATATAAAGAAAACCTACAGTACAGTTTGTCTAAGGTTGGGTGGTAGACAAGAGTGAGCTATTGTATGAAGATAGGATTGAGCACCTGGAAGGTTATACAATTATTGCTATGCCCAAGAAGTTTTTGAACAGCTATTGTTTCTGTTCATAGATTAAATATTTAGTGACATATGATGTAAAGCATCTGACCTGTTTGGAAAGATGAGATATTGCTCACTGTTTGGTAATATCTTATATTACCATATGACAGTCATTTGAGTGTTTCCTTTAGCTCTAAACCCTTAGGCCTTGTTCACACCAAATGCAGAGCAGATCCGGTCAGGTTTCTGCACACGCACACTAGTCTTTTAGATGCGTTTTTGACGTGTTTGTGGCTAAAACAGTGCATTCCAGGCATGTGCATGCGTTTTTGATGCGTTTGCATCCAGAGCAGGTAAAATAGGGCCTGCTGCAGTTTTTTTACCTGCTCTGGACCTGCTCTGGATCTGCATGCTGCGATGTGAACTGGAGCTAAAAATACCATAGGAATACATTGGACGCAGTTTTGATCCGGTCTGCACCTGCTCTGCTCTGAACCTGCTCCGCGCTTGGTGTGAACTAGCCCTTACAATGTTGAAGTTTGGGGCTTCAGACTATTGACAGTCCTTCTACAGGTTTAGAACATATTGGTGCTTCTGTGACTGTCCCCCTGGATAATTAGCCCTGTCCTGTAGCCTGCTTGGATATGGGCCCCCTTCCTGTATGCCCCTACGCCTGCCTTACTGGAGATCCTATTTTGAGGCATGGTAGCAGCACACTAACAAATATATAATCAAAAACATCTGTTCATCCCTAGAGGAAGTAGTGCTATTGGCTGCAAAACATGTAAAAAATACTCCACTTATCACCACCTGTACACAAGACATGTGATGCATGTATTTTCCAAATTGGGAATACACGGGAAAATCGAATACAACTATCTCTTTGTCATTATACCATATAGAAATCATGATAAGATTTTATGCAGGTGGTGCTCTATGGGGAAATAACTATACATAGCCTATGAGTGCTGCTAAATACTGTTTGTTGTGATCTTTTATGAAAAATGTAAAGGCTGTTTTCATTTACAAGGAATACATTATTTTTATCCAAATGAAATACCTGTTAATTCACCAGGAATGACCAACTGACAGTGTGGTAAATTCTCATCTTACGTTTATCTGTGGGAAATCCCACAAAGTGCTTTTTAAACCCTAAACCAGTGCAGAATTACAACGGGGCAGAGCTCTTGGCCCCTAACGTTGGATGATGGCGGGGCCTGGGACATGTTGAATGCTGTTAGAACTTGTTTTTCACTTTAATGAATTGGACTGACATTTGGGGGAAAAGGGGGAGGCTTTTCAACTGGGTCCTTTTCAACTAAAATCCAAGGTTAATGCTGACTGGCACATTAACTATTAACAGCATAGCAGGGAGCCCACATGATTGTGGCATTATGCTCTGTTGGGTGTATTACACTAAATGCTAGTCAAAATGCCTGAATTTAGACCTAGGGCAGACATTTAACTCTTTTGCTGTGTCCCCACAAGCTGGAGATTGTTAAATTGGCCACATTTGTATAATAAAGGTTACTCCCTTTTTTCACATGGATTGTGTTACATGCTGAAGGATTATGCTTTTTAAACAGGATTTTCTACACATACGTCTGTCTGTCTTTTCTATGCTATAACAGTTAGAAATTTCCATTTGCACAGGACTTCAGGTGCCGGACAAATGTAAACAGTTGGGTGGAGCAAGCAGTGATGTCACCACTAGCTCTGCCCAATTGTTTATATTTTGTTGTTATCTATCAGAATGCTATTCTGTGGCGGAAGTTCGTCGCGAGTGGGCGGTTCGGCGGGCGTCTGGGTTTTAAAAAATAATTTCTATTTATTTTGTCGAGTCGTCATCGTCATGGACAACTCTGGACGCTGTGATTGACCTTAGGATTACGTCAGTTGATCCATTTTTATTTTTTGTGTTTTTTAAAAATAAGACTTGTCAAAACATGTCTTTTTTTTTCAATATAAAGGATTTTTTCGAAAGTGTGGCGTCTTTTTTACAATTTGAATTTAACCCTTTAGTGAATGGGTAGGGGTATAAGTACTCCTTACTCATTCACAAGGGGGGCTGCATCTGGGTGCCCAATGTGAATAAGCCCCCCTGCCCGCACCCCCACAACCAATGCCCCAGGGCTTGCGGGGAAGAGCCCTTGCCTCCATCAGCACGGGGACAAGGTGCTTTTCCAGGGGCAACCATGGAAAAGCACCCTCCCAGTGCCGAGGTCATGTGGTCTGGTATGGCAGGGAGGGGGGGGGGGGCGCGCTTGGCCCCCCCCCCTTTTCCG